TCAACTATGCAAAAATTATATTATCCGGAAAAATATACAACCAACAAAAGAGCAGCGGTGATAGGTTCTTCTTATCCGGAAAAAATAAGAAGAATAGTAGCATGATAGGTTCCAGGCTTCCAGCTTACTCGATCACATAAGGTTTACTTTACTTCGTGCTAATAACCAATTTAGAAAATGAAAAGAAGGAAAGATATGGCCTTGCAGACCTGCAGGACACCCAGGTACTTACATTTAAAATATTCAAAGCAAAAACTGATCCCTCTTCTACTTTATTAGCAATTTAGCAACAATGCTTCCATTCCTTTAAACAAGCAACTATCAAAAGAGCAAATCAGCTTGGCCATAGAATTAGATCCCATAGTATAGCCATAATCATGTACATATTCTTCTTATTACATTCATTTTTAGTCTTGTTTTTTTTTTTTTAAGTCTAGTCTAACAAGTCAATTTCTTTTCCTTTTCTATGTTCCACCACTAATAATAGATCATGTAACAACTTAAACTCCCTCTCCTAACACAACAAACAACAATTTCTACAATTCAATATTACTATATTTAGAAGGACTGATAGAGCCACTACAGTAACCAATATAGGTGTTGGTTGGTAAAATTTTACAAAATTCTCTCAATGACAGAAATCCCTATACCAACCAATCCCATGTAGTACAATAAATAAATTTACCAATCATATACCAACTTCAAAGTTCAAAAGTCACATTAACAAATATTCTTTTCATTTCTTTTTTAGGATAGGGTACATAGTGGTTTGCATAAAAATTAAAAACCCACTAAGGCCACTACAAGTCTACAACCAAATTTTGAAACCAAAACATAAAACCGCAATTAAAGACTTTACCAACTAAGTTAGCTGAACTTGAGTTCACAATCAACATAGATATACACCCAACACATAGAAAAGCTCTGAACTAAGAATTTCACTTATTGAGTAACCAACAAATTAAAACACTTAAAAGGGGTGTTTTCATAGTAGAGTATTACCAGCAAGAGCAAGACTATGATAAGCACCAGCAGCAACCCCAACAAATTTGGGACACTTCTCATTTCCCAAATCACCATCATTATCCCATTTAATTGGCACTGGAAACTTCTCATCCGATTGAGAACCATTCCCAAGTCGCCCAAACGTGCCTCTTCCCCATGAATATACCTTCCCATCTCCTGCCCCAATTCATTTGGGTCACCATTTTCACAGCATATATTATACACATTAGTTTCAATCATATTATAAAGTAAAATTGTATTGAAAAGAATATGGCAACTGGGGTTACCGGAAAGAGCGAGAGTATGAGCTTCGCCGGCGGCGACGGCGACGATCTTGTGTGCTGGGTTGCGGGGTGATAATTCTGGAGTTTCTGTGACATCTGCCATTTTCTCTTTCTTATTCTTGAGTTTGATTTCTAAGGTGAATGTACAGTGATGCACAACACAGCCTAAGAAGAGATGAAATTACTTAGTTTGGCTTATTGGCTTATTGACTATTGAGGTGGAGTAGTAGATCAATTTTATAAGAGGGGTGATAATGTGATATAGTATGTTCTCTAGCTATGTCAATGTCACCGACCACCGTAGTATACTGCTCCGTATAGAGTAGGCTGTATGGAAACGAATACAAACACGAAATTAATATATTTCGTAGTATACAGAGGCGGAAAGAGGACCTCTAAGTCTCTAAACACTAGAGTGCTAGACCAACCTTGATTCTTAGCCTCTTGTGTCCCGAGTAAATATGAAAATGAAATGACGACATACCTCCTCCATTCTAAATTATTACACATCTCTATTATGTTTTTCAAAGCATAACTCCCCAAATTAACGATAATTATGAAGTAAAAATTAGAAAAGTTGATATTTTGCAAATACAAATTGAGAGGAATCAAACAACATTTACAATAAGTAGTTACTTGTTTTTTTTCTCATTTATTAATTACATAAAAGAGTCAAAGTAAAGTTTGTAAATAATGTTAAAAGTCAAAATCTATTAATTATTACTCCCTCCGTCCCATGATATAATTCTTGTTTGTGTTTATTCACGGTATTTAAGAAATAGGAGGAAAAAGTGGATGAAGTACATTAATAAAAGTGAAAAGTACAATTATATACAAAAGTTAGAGGGAGAAAGTGGAAAAAGTACAAGGCATGAACAAAATTCAAGGGTAATTTTTTATATACATCAATGAATAAAGTTAAAAAAGTGAGGATATAATGGTATTTATATACTATCCAAAAATAGAAACAGGAACAACATTTTGGATCTCCAAAATAGGAAAACAGGAATTATATTATGGGACGGAGGGAGTACTAAAACAAAATATTGTTGACATCATCTCTCCTCAAACTGTATATGTGTCGCTTTCTTATGCAATTTTTTCCCGCCTAAAACCATTTATGATGTCATTATTTTGTGATACTTTTTTTTTTAAAGGATTTTTTTTTTCCTTTTGTGTGATACTTTGTAAACAAGCTAAGTAAATTCTTTCAACAACTTTAAAATCGAAGTGTAGTAAATTGATGAATATCAACTGTATTCCTTTCTTTTGATTTAAAGATCTATCATTCTCTCTCCTCAACTCCTTAACACTAATATTCCAACGTCTAGAAATTTCCTGAAATATCCAAACTGTATTTCTTTTAGGAAATCTCCTTCCAATGAATTTATGACAAAATTGAAATGATTCATTATATATACGAGTTCTATACTATAATTTTTTTTTTTATTATTATAACCGTTCATCGCACGGGGATAATCTAGTATATCAACTAATTTGGAATGAAGAATTGGATTGCATACAGATGTGGAAAAACACATTATGATATTTACATGTTTTTTTTTTAGAATATATTTACATGTATTTAGAAACACAGTTCTGTGAATTTTTAATGAGTATTAATTATATACTTGTACTAATTCAAGTAGGTCAAGTAAACTCCTTACAAAAAAGTACTCGTATTTAATATTTCAACACTGAAGTTGTTATATCAAACCCTATTCGAAGCAATTTTGGGTGGAAAAAAAAATAACAATAGCTATTTGTATACAAATTAAGACAATTTCAGAGAGGGAGTGTGAAATCAAATTACATGCCATTACTATCGGATTAACTTTTAGAAGAAAAAAAAAAATTATATTTGCCTCATACTTTGTTTAAAACTTTGTACTTCGTATAGCCTACGAGTGAAAGAAGGAAAAAACAAACAAGGGAAAGTTCATGAAATAATAATGGTATGTTATCATAACTAATCATTATTTAATTGACATTAGTACTATATATCAAATCTGTACAAACAATCTGGCTAGGTGTGCAGTTGCTAATGGCTTACAATGGTAACGTGATTGAATTGCAATGCTGCTAGATAACAAATTATTCCAAATTTAAGGTCCTGGTAAAAGGAATATTATTATAGCTAAAGTGATTCATGAAAATGACTTAAAAGTTTAATAATGGTTGTTAATGGATCATATATCTTAATACCTGGATTGTAATCAATATAAAAAATTTTCTGTAACGTAAACCATATTGACTGAATAGACATAACTACATAAGACATTTTTACAAATGTCATTATCTTTTTTTTTTTTTTTTTTTTTTTTTTTTTTTTTTTTTGGTAGCTACAAATGTCATTATCAATATATAAATTCTGTTAATCACAGTGTGCAAACTTTGTTGGTCAAAGAACGTAACATTATTATTTTAAATTCTAATCTTTTAATTTTAATTTTTTTTTGGTGAAAATCTTTTAATTTTAATGGATTAACAAGATTTCTTTGAAATATACAACTACCACCTTTAATAGTTTTTCTGTACTGTTGATAATCACCATTTAAATAAAACGAACTTTTAAATACAAATGGAGTATAATACTAGTAAAGTAGTAATTAACTTTCCAAGAGCATAGAGATTGTGAAATTTTTAAAATAAATTAGCATAATTTGGCCAATTTGCTTGGCAAAGTAGTTGATGAACACAATCAAATGAAAAAAGGTTAAGAAAATAAGTTATTTTTGACAAGTAGTTTTAGCTATACAACCTGCAACCTACAAATGATGAGAATTTGAAGGGGGTGGTATAATAAGATTGAGAAATGATATAATAATACATTTGAACAAAAACTAGTTATTGGGGCGATGTCCCGAATCGTTGTAAATTTATAATTGTGTGATATTATATAACTTGTAATGAAATTTCAATTGAATGCAGAATATTATAAAATGATCAAGTTGTTTACATATAATAGAAAGTTGTTTAAATAAGAAGATTAAACATATAAAGAGTTTTTCTTGTAAAATAAATTTTATTAATGCATATAGTTAATAATTGCTAAATAGTAAGATATTAATTATTAGAGTGATTGAATAGACTCAATAATAATATAATTTAGGTGAAAGGTTTTATGGATTTGCCATGTCATTATTTATGTGGCGCCAAATCATGATGAGAGAAGGGGAATGAGATTTAAAGTCCCAAAAAATAATACGAGGGGGAGCCAGGTTTTAAATGAAAATTTTAAGGTACAAACGTCTGTACCATGCTTGGTATAGACAAATAATGCTGAAAGAATATGTAACTGTTTTGTAAAGAACATACAGCTGTTTTGTACAGAATATATAGCTTTATGTTTTTTTTTTTGGTATATCTAACATACATTTGTAATATTAATAAAGAACATAATAATATTATGTAATGAACAGTATTTATATATACTCACCATAATTTAAAGACAAAATTAAAAAACATTTCACAATAATTAATGAACATTATGTCACAAATAAAATTACATTCAATGACAATCAAAGAACATGGACATGTATTCTTTTCGCTCTTTTTTGGTGCAAATATATTCTTTTCACTCTAGGTATATATTTATTTCATTTATATAGTATGTTTTTTCACTATAGCTATATATACATTACTGTTCTATATTATATTCTTTTATTATTATTTTTTTTTTAACAAAACGGCTGTATGATACACTATACAGATGCCTGCAAGGACCACTGGGTTTTAAAAGTAAGGCCTTGTGAATCAAATGCCCCTGAACCTAGGGAAAAAAGTCATAAAACTGCAAACATCGAGCCCCAAAAATTTAAAATTTTCAGTAGCAAGTCCAACAAAATTGGGGCACAAAGCCTAGACAATCTCAATATCTATCAGCTATATTACCTATATAGAGCAGAGATGCTACAGTTAATCCGAAATACGAGTATGCAGCTAAAAAACCCACGAAAAACCAAAGAGAATGAGATCATTATCTCCAAAAAAAGCCAAAGTAACAAAGTGAAGATACAGCTCCAAGATAAGAAATCTTATAAATTTCATGGATTTTGAGGTTGTATTTGTTGAATTTGCCCTTGATTATATATGGGTCGTGTTTGATATTGCATGCACGCAAAGTGTTCGACGAAATGCCCCACTGAAGTTATATTGACTATGGCAAGCTAACAGCATACGGCGGATACCCTCTTGTCTTTGTACATATTTTGACAAGCACAGCATTTGTTGCTGCGTCAATTATGTCATGTTTTTGTTCGCTCTCATTCGACCCGAAGCCGAGCGAGTTCGGGCAAGTTGAGCTTGGTGTACAAGGAAATCTGATACACTGGAATGATGGCAAGTTTAGGGTAAGTTCCTAAAACCTCTCCTATGTTTTAAATTATGACTTGCTGGTTATCATTTTTTACTATCATCAGTTCATCACCAAGTGTACAAGAAAATATGTAAAGCCCCTCGTGTGAGTTGAAACTAGTTACCTCACCATCTCATATACACGGAGCTTACGAATGACTAACATATAAGACTAGTAATACAAAGTAGGATGAGACCCTATTGCGCTTTTATATGGACATGAATTCACACTGGAGTTTTATCTAAGGCCTCGTTTGGTTTGATGTAAAACATTTTCAATTGCAAATTAGTTTCCCATTGTTTGGCTCCTTTTAAGAAAAGTTAAAGAGAAATGAAAAATAGGAGTGGAGATGTGAGGATGGATAAGAGAAAAGTAAAAAGGAGGTAAGGAGGAGGGTAGAAAACATGGCTTCCCTTGTCTTGTTTTGTAAAGAAAAAGTGTTTTCCAACAATATGGATGCAATTTTCCACCATTGGAAAAATTGTTTTCCACCCCTTCACAAACCAAACAAAGGAAAATGGGAATAAATGGAAAATTTATTTTCCATGAAAACATTTTTCATCTTTATTTTCCATGACATTTTCATCAAAGCAAAAAGGGCATAAGATGATGCGTGCATACTGCATATCACATGAAAGTTGATACAAGTTGAGTAATGCTACTTGCTTGTATCTGCTATCTCCATGGTCGTCATGCCATAAGGGATTTCATAGCTCTGTTCCCTTGCTAGTTTGGATCTAAACAATTAATAACTTATCCACACAAACAAAATTTTCAGTTACATGTAAATGATATACGAAGTAATGCATATCGTTGATTATATTTATATTCCTCGTTGAACCTTTGACCTCAATTATAATCAACAATTGAGTTAATTTATACTTATCACATATTATGACTTTGGGTAATGTTTGAACCAATAAGTTTAGTATGTTAAAGTATAAGGGGTGTTACCATGAAACAAAAAAATATAAGGGATGGGAGTCAGAGTCATGCAACTGCCTACCGGCCTTGCAATCTCATACAATAGAATTTATGGAATGTTATCTTAATTTCATATTCCTAAAATTGAGAACTGGCAATTTTTGGAATCTAACCAATTATCTCTAGTAGCTTATACATCTAGTACCTTATATAACTATAATTACCTACATATATCATAAGAAGTGGATATTATTGAGACATAAATAACTAAAGTCAAGTATTAGAAAACCTTTTGTTGTACAATGCCTTATATTGTGTTAACATGGTTTGGTGTTACTTTTGTGAAGAGAACAACTTTATACGGAGCTGTTAATCAGGTTTGTTAGATTTGTTTTTGATAAAATGAATTTTGAATATAAATACTATGACAATATAGTTATAATTTTAATAAAATATATATCTCTTATCTAAGAATTTCTTCGTAAGTTAGTAGAAAAATTGTCAACTCAACATTGGCCAAAATATAAAATTCTGTATACCTGTTTTTTAATCCCAATTGCTTTGATAGTTGTAAATGCTGATCTGAAGCTGGAAGACCATAAGTACCCATGTCCTGTCATCCTTATATTTTTTTTACTACTACTGTATTTTTTTAAACTTGGTTTGTTCCCCCCCAAAAAAGACTTTGGTTTTGGTCAAAAATAAATAAATTAATACGGAGTAAAACACGTGGCTTTGGTAGCTGTCCAGCTGAGTAGCTTTGCTGGAAAAAAAAATGTACTCCGTATCTTGTAAATCTCTGAATAAATTTATTTTCTATATAAAATTTTCCCTGTTATTTTATTTTTTATCATCATCTTTGACTCAATAAGTATTCAATTTTGGATATCATGGCTTGATTCATCATTGAATTAGGACAAGAATTTATCCATCACCCAAGTAGCCAGGCAAATTTTCCATGAGAGTTAGATAAACACCTATACATTTTACAAAAGTAATACTTTATCTGAAGGAGGAGGAGCTGCTTATGTTGACATGGAGGCAATGGTCTTACTCAAAGCAGCTGGTCAACAGCTTGGAAAATGGATGGTGGAAGAAGCCAAACACCTGTATGCTGTGAAAGATAAGGTTGAGGGACTCCAAAGTGAGCTTGAATGGATCCAATGTTTCCTACGAAACGCAGACGAGAAACATGGAGATGATGAATTGGTTCAGAAATGGATATCTGAAGTCAATGACTTCTCATATGAAGCTGAGGACATTCTTGAGAAGTACCTCCTCAAAGTTTCCAACCCTAGAAAAAAGGATGAGATCTGGAGTCTGATTAAATGGGCTACTTGTGCTCTTGGTGATGCTATATCAACACATGAAGTTGGGTGCGAGATTGATGTCCTAAGTAGTAAGATCTCAAAGTTAGCTAAAAGAATGAAAACCTATGGAGTAACGCCTGCCTCGTCGTCATCTTTATCACTGGATGAGATGAGGTGTATTCATCCCCACCTTCCAGTGGATGACATAATTGGGTTGGAAGATGACACAAATGTTTTAATAAATCACCTGATGAACAGAGAAACCAAAGTGATTGCCATAAGTGGGATGCCAGGGTCTGGTAAAACCACCCTTGCTCGGAAAGTGTATCTCACAGTGAAAGGGCACCAATTTAAGATGTGTGCTTGGGTTTATGTCTCTCTGGAATTCCAACCAAGGAATGTTATTATAGGGATTTTGCTGAGTCTTTATGCAGATGATAAGACAGAGAGGAATCTCATCCAAAACATGGGACCGGACGACCTAGAAAAAAAACTATACGATGTCTTGAAAGAGAAGAAGTGCCTGGTGGTTCTTGATGATTTATGGGAAGCCAGTGATTGGAATCGTTTGAAAAATGCATTCTCAATCGAAGCCTCAAGCAGCAAATTGATGATCACCACGCGCAATACAGCATTGCTTTCAAGTGTTGATCCTCGAGGAGTCACTCATGAACCCAAGGGTCTATCTCCTGAGGATAGCTGGAAGCTATTCAGAAGGAAAGCATTTCTGGACATGAAAGACATCTGTACAAGAGGTATAGTCCCTACCTTTATGACTTCTTTCTACATGACCTCTAATTACAATAGTTGGGCGCTTAGTTTTGTTCCCCCCTACACAAAAACATTGTTTGTCGTCATACAAGCTTTCCACACTAATGTCAACAGTTTTTGCTATGTGGTATTATGATCTAGATTGTGATTTGAAGAGCAGCTTCAATTTTTTCGTGGTTCTATTGAAATAAAAGAAAAGATGGTTGGAATAACAAGAATTAGGTGGAGAGAGTATGTAGTGGTGGTGGGAAGGGAGATATAACATGGAAAGGGTTGTTTGCATTGGTTGTGGACCCTTGTGGTGCTTGGGTGTGGGAGGGAATGTGCTTAGGTGGGGAACAAAGGGTCTTAATTGGAATGTTATGACGAACGTAAGAAAGATTAATAAAGAAAAGACAACACACATATTTACATGGTTCATTAGTTATGTCCACGGGCAGGTGAGTGAAAGTTTTATTAATCTTGAGGAAGAATACAGATTACAGATTATATTGGGTTAAACCTAGGATGTTAGTACTCCCAAAACAGAAACAGAATCGGCCTCGGAAATAAGCTTAAACACAAAACTGTGATCCAATGTAGGGGGCAACCGCATTCAAGGCATGTTCTGAGATGGAAAATGGCGATGCTTAAAATGAGGGAGAAAGATGTAAGTGCTGAAAAAAAAGCATAATCTACTAAGTCACACATTCACACATAATTCATTTGAAGATACCTAATGAACCGGACCATTCTCAATAAATCTATAGTTAATATTGTTTTTAACAGATGGTGAATAATAGGAGTTTAGGACCATCAGTATTAGTTGTTTTTTTTTCCTTTTTTTTTAAGAATCAATTCGAGCACATATTAGATCATAAACACGAGTGCACCTGAAAACAGTGGTAAGTACTTGGAGGATGCATGTAGTGGAGAATGGAAGCTCTCTATTATCTCAATGTTACATGTTTTGGGGAACCGAAGGTTCTCCGGCCACTTAATGCATCATCAAACCATTTCTTTTTGTTTACTGTTGTGTGTTTTAACCAGTCCATATATAACGGGTATTATTTGGATTTAAAATCATTTTATTTACCTAGTTGCAAAGCTGATTTTGTTTAAACTAATAAAGGGTATTAACTATTGTGTAACTCTGTAATAGTGTAATCTGTTCATCAGATGTACTTGTAACTGATGCTGGTGTAGCTTCAAGCTAGAGTGCAAGTTCCTTTGTACTCTTCTATTATACTTTCTCTGTTATTTCTGTTTTTTACCTGCAACACTTATCATTTTACGCTTGTCATTGCATTATTTTAATCATTAATATCTTTAATTACCAATATGTAAAAATTACAATAATTTGATATTACAAAAGTGTAAATCGAGGCGAATCTAAGATGATCCTTAGATCCCACATGACTATATTTTTCCTTAACTAGATTTCATCAAAGCTAGTCATAGTGTAGCATGTGAATAGTGAAGTTAAAGTGTTGTAAAAAAAAAAAAAAAAAAAAAAGAAAAAAGAAAAAAACACCAGAGGAAGTTTGATATAGTTGTCTTAGTCTCGAAGTCATTTACTTTCATTCAAAAGGACGAGTCACACATAGTACGTTTCACCGGATGTCTATTGTTGTGAAGTTGTAAATGAATCTCAGTTAGAGTTTTTATTGAATTTGTTCTTACTTAATCCACCTGTGCAGATCCAGGAATGAAGGATTTGGGAAGTAAAATGATTAAGCGTTGTAATGGCTTGCCTTTGGCAATAGCTGTGTTGGGAGGACTTCTTGCTCCTAAAAAAACACTAAAGGAATGGGAAAGGGTCAACAAAACTTTTTTGCGTGATAACAACGATGTTGTAACAAAAGTATTGGAGTTGAGCTACACCAGTTTACCCTATCACTTAAAACCTTGCTTCCTGCATCTGGGAAATTTTCCAGAAGATTCTGAAATTCCAACCAAAAAGTTGTACCGTATGTGGATTGCTGAAGGTATTGTTGCTCCGAGAAATGACAAGCCAACTGAAACTTTGGAGGACACTGCCAATAGTTACTTGCAGGAGTTGGTGCATAGATGCATTGTCCAAGTTGGAAAACTAGGGCCAGCCGGAAGGATAAGAACTTGTCGCTTGCATGATTTAATGAGGCACATGTGTGTTAAAAAAGCTAAAGAGAAAAATTTTCTCTCCATAGCTTCTCATGAGGGTGTAGATGTGGGCTGCAGTTCTTCTGTAATTCGAGATGGAAATCTTCATCGTGTAGCCGTACATTTTGATCAGATTAGCTTACCTTCTCAGAGTGACAAGACTTCACATCTTAGATCCCTAATGTTCTTTGGAAGTGGTCCAATTTACAAAGGTGATCATCAAGGTTGGTTAAAAGAAATGATAAGCGACTTCAAGCTGCTTCGTATTTTGGATCTTGAAAATACTGGTATTGAAGAAGTTCCCAGAGTGATTGGTAACTTAATTCACTTGAGGTATTTGAGCATTATGGGAACTCAAGTAACAACATTGCCATCAACTCTACGCAACCTAAGGTGCCTTCAAACTCTTGATCTACGCGTGTCTCTTCAACAAAATTGTGTCCTGACAATACCAAATGTCTTGTGGAGGATGAAAGAGCTTAATTATTTGTATCTCCCTTCACATGCCTACAAAGTCAAGAGGTTTCAAAAACTGAGGGTTAAAGGTTTAAGCAGCTTGAAGATACTCAAGAACTTTGACACCACAAGATCTCAAGTCAACAACCTGCACAAACTGGAAAACTTGAGGAAACTCTGCATTAAGAATGAGGTGTCTAAGATCGAAACTCTTAAGATTATTTTAGAATGTCAGAGCATCAGAAACCATAATCTTTTGCACCTGTCCCTTAAGATTCATGGTTCTATACTAAATGTAGATGCAGCGATTTTGTCAAGCTGCAACTGCCTCCATACTCTGGAATTGTATGGGACGAACCCAACAATTACAGAGCTGATGCTAGAAAGCTTTAAATTTCCTGAAAGTCTGACGAGTTTAGCTATAATTAACTGCAGCCTAATATGTACTGATCCTATGCAAAACTTCAAGAACCTCCATAACCTTAGAAGTCTTTCCCTGGACAATGTCTCATTCTCAGGAGATTGTATGGATTGCACACATGGTAGTTTCTCAAAGCTTGTTGATTTGAAGCTCAGTAATATGGACACCTTAAAGGAGTGGAAGGTAGGAGTAGGAACCATGCCTAATCTTTACCGTTTGAGGATATACGACTGCGACAATCTACAGAGGATTCCTGATGGATTGCCTACATCAGTTCGAGTTGTGTGTAAGCCTTGTAAGAGTGGAATTAACAAGTATTTAACCTGCCCTCATTTCCCAGTAGAGCTTGTGGATGACGACGATGCTGACTTGGCTACCCGATTACTAGGCAAGTCCAGTCCTTTGGAGGTGCGACCTGCTTAGGGTCCAACAAAAAATAGGGCCCTAAATGGCCTACATGCTTTGCTAGTCCTTTTTTTTCTTGGTTATTACTCCATCCGTCTCTTAAAGATTGTCATATTTTCTTATCCTGACACATTACCTCGACAAAATAACAAAGAAAACCTCTACTGTTTTTCTTCAACCCAAAACTTACCTTCTTAGTACAAATGTAATTATTTTTTTCAATTCTATTTCAATGTAAACGCAGCCCCTAATCATTGATTATGATGTATTAATTTTTCTAATATAGTGTGAATGGATGAAATCTCAAGCTTAATCAATGGGATATTTCTTTGACTGATAGTGATAGTGTGGTTGGTCCAACTGACGTGTAAATGAAAAAAAAAAAAAAAAGAGTCGACTACTGATCGTGGTAGGTTGTTGCCTAACTCTGAACTCTCCTTATAAATAATTAGATTTGATAGATCTCAAAATAAATGCACGGTTAACAATTTTACTAAGTCCCTCTTCACTTCATCTTATTTTTGCTGAACTGAAATTATTTTTACTGAAATTAAATTATTTTTATTGAATTGAAATAAATTTTACTGAACTGAAATTATTTTTACCGATTTTCTATTATATAACTGAAATTATTTTTACTGAATATTATTATTATTTTTTAGGTAAATTGAACAGAGTCTAGGGCAAATAAACCTATTGAGAAATGGGAGAATCTTTTTAAGACAAGTAAAATATGCTTTGTAATAGACTTTGGTAGCTCCTTAATATTTCGTTTGTAATGTATTGCGCATTTTTTTTTTTGATAGAGATATAGAGTAGTTTGGGAAAATGGTTTAAATCTTTAAATAGATAATTCCCGATACATGCTCGTTTTTTGAAATTAATGGTAATTAAAATATAAGTCTTTGAATAAATGTAACTCAATATGTAAAGGAAAACATCTATCATTAGACCATTTCCATTGGTGAGAGTCAACTTTGACTATTGAAATACAAAATGAGTTGTTTTTTACCTCCAATGGTGATACCCAACCACTTCTCAATTTAGCAACCCATATGAAGTCTACTTTCCCAATAGTGAGACTCTCTAAAGTATACTAATATCACTTTCAAATTATGGCCCACCAAATCCATATTGTAAATTTTTCCAAAAAAAAAAAAAAAAAAAAAACTTAAATAAATTACAAAATATATTATAATATTGATAAAGAGCCCATACTTTTTGTCAAATGAGACTCAAAGCTGAGTATCTAAAATTAGCAACTTTCTTTAGATACCAACTTATTGGTATCCTTTGCAAAAAATATTCTCTCTCTCCTAAAAAAACTCACTCAAGTCTCACCATTGGAGATGGTCTTACGTGTAAATGAACCAAAATTCAGATTACCCCTCCAACTTTTTTATGCATTACTTGAATTTATATACTATTTATATATTAGTATGCAATTTGTTGTTGAATTCACTATAATGTCTACTTTTATAATTAATTTTTTTTATTAATAGTTAGTACAAAATATCGATTGTTAAAGTTGTATCTCGACAAATGTACTAATCAAAATAATTGCAATTAAAAAAACACAATAAAAGTAATAATAAAAGACTTATCCCATTAAATAAAGGCATGAACTTCCAATTATTTTAGTGAAGGTCAAATATATTGATGAATGGATGAGATTTTACGCTCAAAATCAATGGCGGATAATACTTTGACTATATTGGTAGCTCCACATGACATTAATGATCTCCTTTATAAAAATTGAAATTGACAGTAATTGAGTAATATATAGTATACCATGATCCTCGTGGATGGAAGTTGTATAATTCTGAACTCTCCCTTAATTAATTATTAGAGATAAGAGGTCGCGAAATAAATGAGTTATCAACAATTTGAATTACTAAGTAGCTAATAAAAAGCCAAAAGTACTCCATTTTGAACTCTTCTGTATTGTTTTTTTCTTCAAAGTGTCTGTAATTTAGTTTGTTTGTTTAAGCTCACGTCAAAAAAAAAAAAAAAAAAATTCTAAAAATCCTCTATCAAACGATAAACACAGGCACCAGCAACAGGCTGATGGAAGCGTCGTTTGCAAGTGAATTAAGCTGGGCTGTATCGAGCATGTCGTCTGCTCGCATACTGCAGCAACTACGGCAAGTGGGGGCTTCAGACAATCAGCTCCAAACCATCAGAGAGAAATTTGTACGCATTCAGAATTGTGTAGAAGTACACAGCAGATCAACAGAGGGGGTCATGCAGCCCTCAGGACTGAATCGTTGGCTTAAAGATGTCAATGATTTGATCTTCTACGTCGAAGATACTATCAATGAGCATATGTCTGAAGACAATCGCAGGAAAACTCGATCATTCAAGAGAACTTCCCTCTTTTCGCTCCCCACTCGAATGTCTTACAGGGTCAGGAAAATCCTGTCATTGTTGGATAAGCTCGATAAGGAGTCATCTACATTGGGGTTGACAAGATTGGAAGTATCTCAAGTTGATCGTATCGATAGTAATACATCAGATCAAGTCCTTGATTCCTTAGTTCCTGAGTCCGTTTTTGAAAGTAGGAATATCAAGGAGATTATAGATACTTTGGCCGAATCCAAGGCAAGTGACAATGGAATTTTTACTATTGCAATCGTCGGAATGGCAGGTACAACTTTTCTAGCTACTACCTCTATTTTTTTTTTTTTTTACTCGGTTGCAATTTTACTCGATTAACAACGCATATAATTGACTAATTATATCTTTAATTGCATAATATTGAGATACGGAGTAAATATCATAAATAGTTCATAATGTAAAATTAACATTGAAATGAATATTTTTACAATGTGTGCTATCGCCTATAAGAGTAGTACATGGTTTTTTTTTTTTTTTTTTTTTTTTTTTTTTTTTTTTTTTGTACAATAACCATATGCCCCCAAAAAACAGAGGTAGCACTTGCATAAACATTTACTAAACATTTTAGGCTATGTTTTGTTTCTAGAATCCATCCCAAAGATTCATACTCCGTATAGTGAAAGCAAATGATACAAGTTTATCCCTTCTACTTTGTTAATATTTTAAGACTTGGCCCTTAAGCATTATTTTAAAGTACAGTTGAGCATACAACAAATTGCATCCCTTCAAAAATGTATTTGCAATTAAGAATGGATCTAAATCTAAATTAAATATAGGACAATTTCCTGACATGAGGAATACTAGTAGACTTGTAATGTAGTACTTCATGTTAGTAGAAAATTTTGGTGATGACTGCAAGTGACTTTGTGGAGTTATTCCTGGCAGGTATTGGAAAATCAACCCTTGCTAAGAGGGTTTATACAGATACAAAGATCAAACAGCATTACGGGAACAAGATGTTCTGGGTGAAAGTTGGTGAAAATTTTGATGCAACAAAAATTCTGAAGGATATGTTCCGGTCACTACCCGCAGACAATCCGCAATCAATGCCCGAACAAACACCGCAATCAATGCCTGAAGAGCCGCTGAGTTCGAGTGAATACAAGGCGGCCATTAAGACCAAGCTTCACGATTTCATGAAGGGAGAAAACTCACTCCTTGTACTGGATGATGTATTGTGTGTAAACGAAGAGCAGTTACAAAAACTGTATGCATTGCATAGTGGTGGTGGTAAAATCAGTATTTTGGTAACCATCAGGAGAATAGAAGCTGCAAGGAGCCTTGTTGATCCGAAAATTCATCATGTGAAAAGATTAACAGTTGAAGAGAGTTGGGACTTGTTCAAGTCTCTTGCCTTAAAGCAAATGCCAATCGAGGAGGGGAGCGAGTTAGAGTCAATTGGCATGAAGATTGCAGGGAAGTGCTACGGTATTCCTCGAGTAATCAGTAAAATGGCAGACTCATTAGGCCGATTAGGGAACGTAGACGATGTAAGGGAGTGGGAGAAGGAGAAGGCAGAAACAGAATTATGGGAGTTAATCTTGTCAACATTGTCATTGAAGTTTAATTCCCTGCCTAAAGCTCTTAGGCAATGTCTTGCCTATTGCTCTATCTTTCCTAAGAACGCTACTATCGGAAAACTCGATTTGATTAGTCTCTGGATCGCTCAAGGGTTCGTTACAGAGGAAGCCACTGCTGAGAAGTACTTTAACATATTGTTGAATAAGTCACTTCTACAAGTATGTACACAGGATGAGGATGGCAATGTCCTGGACTGTACTATGCAGGAATTGGCCTATGATCTAGCAGTGAATTTTTCGAGGCATGATCGTATGTTAATTATTGCTGATGGGAACCATGACATTCAACCAGGCAGTCTTTCTGATGTACGGCATTTAGTGATGTCACCACCAAATGGTGAAGCAGAGAGAGTGAGAGTTCCTCCTTCCAGACGACGATGTAGACTAAGAACAATATATTTAATGGTTCAAGAAGTGCCAATGAATTTGCTGAGTCAAGCAAGATCATTGTATGTATTAAAATTAGATGGGATTGGCCTGAAAGAGGTTCCAAGGGATCTGGCCAAGCTGAAGTATTTGCGATATCTTGATCTGTCAAATAATCAAATAACAAGTTTGCCAGAATCAATCACACAGCTCTACCTTTTGCAAACATTACGACTCATAAATTGTATAAATCTCTCACCACTGTCTGAGGGGCTAAGTAATTTTATCAACAACTTACCAAACGCAGAAATTCCGCCTAAATTATGCAGCAAATCGGGTACTTCTACTGCTCAGAGGAAACTGGATCCTGTTTATCTGAATGCAGAGGGAGCATCCAAACAACTTTCCAATTTGGGCAGGCACGCTGATACTGCTGGTGTTCTGTGTATTAGTGGGCTTGAATATGTGAAATTCAAAGAAGCTGCTCAGGAAGCAAGGATTGGTAGTAAAAGCAAGCTTTCGTCTTTGGAACTGAGTTGGAGATCATCAGAACAGTTATCAGAGACAATTGACAGTGCAAATGATGAAAAGGTTCTAGATGGTCTTCAGCCTCATCCGAATATTCGAAGGCTAAAGCTTACTAACTATGACAGCCAGAAGTTTCCGGAATGGGTGATGCGGCCGATGAAGGGTGACGACAATGAGAGACTCAACAGTCTGGTGAGGATAGAACTAGTAAATTGCAAAAGGTGCCAGAGTCTTCCATCAATGGGGGAGTTACCATGTCTTCAGGAACTGATTATTGATGGCATGAGCAACGTTGATTATATAGGTCAAGAGTTATATTATCATGCTGATGACACTGAAGAAAAGGATGTCCTGAAAGTATTCTTTCCTGCACTGACGAGGCTAGAATTGAGAGATTTAGATATATTGAGAGAATGGCAACCAAGTCATATGATACAAGCATTCACGAGGCTAAATACATTGCAAGTTGTTAACTGTCCCAATTTGACTAGCATCCCAACTGATTTCCCACGTATAAAAAACTTGCTGATTCAAGGGGTACAGGTTAATGTCAGAGAGCATAATTGGTTGGACGCAATCATAACAAAGAGCAGCAGCAGGCACACTCTTATCTCTCTTGTCTTGAGTAAGGTATCAGGATCAGCTCGTCTTCCCAAGGAATTGTTCCAATGTACGTCTCTCAAACAACTCAGATTACAAAAATGTGAGAAGCTCAAGTCATGGCCAGGTAATCCCTGGAATCCCATATCCCTAGAGGAATTGTGCATAGATCGCTGCTCTTCTCTCACTTATTCTCCAAATGCTAGAAGTCTCAATGCCCTAAAAACATTAGTCATTCGAGGATGTAGGAGCCTAAAAGTGGCTCCAAAATTTCTTGAAAGGTGCACATCTCTCACTAAATTAGCAATCTCTAACTGCGTTATACTGAAAAAAGTTGAAAATTTACAGTATCTAATTAGCCTTGAAGAGCTAGATATAATAGACTGTAAGAATATAGAATCCCTGCCTCCAGGGATTAATTCTCTTACCAGTCTTCGCACCATGAGAATTGGTGGGGAATCTGGGGATATAAGCAACTGGTATAGGCAATTTCCAGAATGCACATCCCTTCGAAGCCTTGAAAAAGTATGGTTGAAGGGCATGAAATTCATGGATTCTCTTCCTCAGCAACTAAGACAGCTATCTCAACTAAAAGTATTGAGACTTAAGAGTTTTACTTCCCTCAAAAAACTGCCAGATTGGTTATGCAACGACCTCATCAACCTGGAGCTCTTGATATTTGAAGAATGTAATTATTTAAGCGAACTTCCTTCACAAGAAAAGTTAATGCAGCTAAGGAAATTACACTGCTTGCGTATTGAGAAATGTAACATTTTGAAGAGATCCTATAACAAGGAAGGAGGCATAAAGTGGAAAGACATATCCCATATTCCACATATAAAATTTGATAACGTCTGGCATCAAGGAGATAGAAGCTCAATATTGCAGGTATGCGTGCTTCACATATTATGCATTTTTGTTTTTAAGTTCATACCATAAAAATTGAACCTAAGCTACAAACTTGTTGATGTTCATAAAACTCCCTCCCCTCAAATTACTTGCTCCACAACAAATTGACACATTAATTTTATAGAAAGGGTTGAGGAAAATTTGCCATAAATCAAGATAAGTAAGTTGACACACTCCTAAGATAAGAAAAATATGGCTATCAAATGTCTTTGAATTAAATTGAGATAGTGAACCTAAAGAAATATTCACAGTAGCTACATAATGTGACAACCCATTTGTTTGGTATGCATTCAAGTCTTTAATTTTAAGCTATTCGTACTTCAAGTCTCCGGATGATTAACAATGGCTACTCAATAATTGTAGGAAAATCCCATCAACACACGAGTTGTTGAACAAAGGACGGGTCAACCAGCAATTGATCACCAGGAGCACGAACATCACATTGATGAAGAATATATACAGGACGCACCATGCAATGACAATGATGCAGGAATTTTAAATAACTACTTTCTAGGTTTCTTTCTACTACATTACTTGATAGTTAGCTTACTAGTATATTGGGCTACCTACAAACAATGCTAGATGGATTTTCATTTTTGTGTGTAACCTTACATAGGCCAAGGCTGCACAAAGTATTGCTGTATATAATATATCAGTAGACCACTCCGTATGTATGTATATTTAGTGGTGTAGGAAATCAAACATACTATTAGTAGGAGCGACGCAGGTTGAGGAACGATGGGCCTTCTCCTTCTGGCCATCAAAGACGATCTTGACAAAGCATATGGTAATAGATTGGAATGGAAATTCATTAAAGATATTCGTACCATAACATAATTAAGTGAGACAAACTTACACGTGTTTGGTTCGATGAGGCTCATAGTCCAAAACTTGAAACTCTTTGCCTAGAATCATAAACACAAATATCCAATACTTGAGTATTGCCTCTACTAGTTTTGGTGATGACAAATTATCTTTGTTTGGTCAAGGTGTGTTAAGTGTAAAGTTACTAAGTTGGGACAAGGGAGGTCATCCATTGCATAAAGACACTCTGCACACTATTTTAGTGAAGCAAAATATCAAGTCCCAGTTTAGTACAGTATTTCTTTAGGAACCCATACACTTCCTGCAAGGCTTTAGAGTTAAATCTTAAGAGCCGTCTTCAAAAGTTCAAAGTAGAAGCTAGAGTGAGCACTGTAATTAGAGGGAATCACAGACACAGTGGGGTGTACTTAGGTTCTTATAGTAATTTAAGTTGCGTTGAGTTCCACTAGGTTGTAACGGAGGAGTTGCCCTATTTGGTGGAGTTCGAGTTTAATTGGGCCGTGGTTTTTCTTCTTATTGGTTGCAAAAAGTTTTCTACAATAAAATTCCATACTGCACACTATGAACTAAGATTTCAATTTCCGTAAAATTTGGAACAACTCTTCCTATAAACTCACCTATCTTTTAGTGTTCCATCTCAATCAAAATTGAGACTCTTTGCCCAATATACAAGACTCATTGTTTAGTACTTCCTTTTTACCCTAAATTGATATATTACTATAATTTCCATTTGCATCAATTATCCAGCTCAAACAAAAGTATAATTAGACTTATATTTTTCCGGTAAATTCATAAAAACAAATGGTAAATTGCAGAATCAATTCGTATCAATTTTAAATAACTGCAATAATAAATGCATGTAAAAATAAGGATGAATTAGGACCTGTACCTCTGAGAGGAAGATGTTAGATGTGAATAGGAGATAGTAGAAGTAGTTACGCACTCGCCGAGTGAACTCAACCTCTTAACTGAGTCAGCCATTGAAGAAGCTTCAGGATCAGTGAATTTAGAATCCCTGTGTTATTGGAGAAAGATGAGTGTTAATATAATGAACTGAGATAGACAGAGAGCAAAAAAAAATAAGCATACCTTTAGAAAGTTTTGATCAACCAAAAACAAGTCAACTTTTATGAGGTATCTTTCCAAAAACATCCTCCAAAAAAAAAAAAAAAAAAAAAAAAAAACATACACATATGTAAGTACGTAACTATCCTGTAGAATTTATCAACTGCAAAATATAAAAGATTAATTTCCACATTTGCATAGTTAATCCAAAATAGCATATTATAACTCATTAAAGATTAGTACATAAGACAGAACATAGCACCAACTAATAAAAATACAGAATTAGCATAACCGATTAGCCGCATAGGAGCCACTAGCTTTGCAAAACACTAATTCATACAAAATGAACTTTGGTTGTCAACAAAAGTAGTAATAACATCACATTTTCATCAACCCAGGCCACGTCTCAGAACCCTAGCCAGCTTTGTTTGCGACCTTGACAAGGTCCCTTGAGGCCTTAACACCCTCCTATGTTTCGATTACCATCAAACTAACTTAAGGGATAGAAATTGTGGGGAGACAAGACTCTCCACATAATCCATAACCTGGTAAACCTTTATAGTGGGACATCGAACAACGACATGTGAAGGTGGATTATAATCTGGGTCAATGAGCACGAGTCCATTTGCTTCAATGCATAGATAACCATTGTATGTGAACCCTACAAATTGGATGCAACGTCTGACAATATCCTCCTGCAGGTCAATTCGATACAGCTTTTTCAAGAATCCCAATAATCATACTTCTCCAGGGTCCACAGCTCGAACATCCATTCCACAGAGCGATGTAAAAACATAGCACACAGACAGTCATATACTCCAATGACACCAAGCGATAGCTGATCATATATAGGTACTTGATCAGGTTTAATTGAGAAGGGAACCTTCTTAAAGGTCTCTGCTGCCAAATCAAATATAACTATCGATTTGCAACGTACAAGAAAATGCAATGCTTCATTTAAGAAAACTGAATCAGCTCCCGAGATTAAACCCAAATCTTCATCATCAGAGACATGTATTCTCTAGCAGACCTTAACGAGTATAGATACATGCTCTTTTCATAAGGCCTATACTCCGAATACACTAAGAAGATTTTGTAGTCATCAGAAGAGGGAACACGACCAAACCAACTCGAGTCTATATGAACATAAAATGAATCCCTCATAACAGGCAATGAGATCTCCACTTTTGCAGTGGTGCAAGGATTCCAAAGATGCATTGAATCTTGACCACGCCTACTCTCCTTCATTTGCTTCACATAAACACAAACAAGGCCATCATTTGACCCGGCAATGAAACAATAATAATAATTGGATACAAAGCCATCGAGGAATTGATGATTGTCCAATAAGTCTAAGGTTATTACACCCTCAGTAGTATTGGTTGGATCAGAAAACTTCAGTGTGGAAAGAATATCGTATTTTTGATAAAGGAGGGTAAAGGGTTGATTATTACTGTTCGGATAATTGAGATGTGATCTCGCAAATTCAGGGTCTGAGATGAGGGTAAGCCATGATTTGCATACTAGTTTGCATTGTCCTAATGATTTTATAGGCAGTCGATACAGAATATCAAGTATTAATTCTTCGAGTAACCCCAAAAAAGGGTCATCTTCATATTTGAAATTGAAGCAGCTCATAATAGATTAGGGTTTGGATTTCAGTTTTCACTGCAAAACAAATCCAAAGTTACTACACTATAAACACAATTTCAACTAATATAATCATTAACATCTACTTGTAACTATTAAGAACAAACTCAACCATCTTATAATGTACTACCAATATCCCATTGTTAGGAAGAACGATTCTTTAACAAGCTCATAACTTCTTACTAAAATTTCCCACAACATAATCAAACATCAAAACCAAAGTAAGGGTGTGTTCTTTTCAACTTATTAAACAATCGAGTACTTTATTAGACTTGATTGGAAGTTATTGGCCTTCATTAGGAAATTTTGTTGCTAATGTGAAAGAGATTCAATGTCATATCTTGGGTACCTTAACCAACTAATCTAGTTGATATCCATCTTCTTAAAACTTATTAAATCTAGTTGAACTTATTAGACCAATACTGATTGAACTTTCCTCAAAAAAAAAATTTAAAAAAAAAAAAAAAAAACACTCACGCACAAACACACATCCTATAAAATTAAAAAAAAAAAAAAAAAAAAAAAAACACACACACACACTCACGCACAAACACACATCCTATAAAAATTAGTTCAAAATAAGTAAATAACACAATGTGATGCAATTATGAACAGAGTAAAGTTTTAAAAAAACTAATAAATTGAAAGAATTTACAGCTATACATGGAGGAAATCAACAGAAACAATACAAAAAGGTAAATTAAGAAGTGAATTAGAATAAAACAAAAGGGGAATTGGGAAGATTATACCTTTTTAGAGGAGATGTGCAAGTGTGATGGAGTTTGGAAAGGAAAGGAAAGACAAAAGGTTGAAGAAAGAACATTGATGGTGATTTGACGAAGGTTTTGCTTATCATGGAAGATAACAAAACGTTTTTACGGAGGACTAGGAGTGGTTTTGTTAATCTGTGAATATTAATTGAACTATTGAGGTCTTGTATTTATAGTCGTGGATTAATACACTTTTATAATCCCAACTTTGGCCGATTTATTTTGAATAATCTCACCTTTTTATTATTCTGAAAGGGTCAATTTTTTTTAAAACAAATTATATGACACGTGTTGCACTCTAATTGATTCAAAAATATAAAAAAAAATTAATTTAAATTAAAAAACAAAAAATAAGGAAAAAAAAAAAAGAAAAAAACCAAAGACCACCGGCCACCTAACGCTGGTGGCCGCACTTCCTCAACCGCCAAGACCCACACCCGTTACCCTCTATGATCCCCCAACCCTACTTTTCCGACCTGCCGAAAACCCTCCTTGCGCCGGAAACCCTCCCATCACTCCCGTTGATTGCGTTATTAGGCAATTAGAGGAGAGAGAAAGGGAGTGGGCTGGGTTTTTTAGGTGGTTTCGGGGGTGGGGGAAGTGATTTCGAGGGTTTACAGGTGGTTTCGGGGGTGGGGGGAGGGGATGGGGACGGTTTCAGGGACGTGGGCTTTGGTTATGGGTGGTTTCGGGTTTTATGGGTGGCGTGCGTTTTCGGCGCAAGGGTTTGGCTATGGTTGGTTTAGGGGGTGAGGGGAGGCAGAGAGGGCCGGTTTCGCGGGTTTAAGGCGGTTTCTGGGGAGGTTTTGGGGGTTGGGGCTAGGGAGGCAGTGGTTCGGGGTTGGCTGTGGAGGAAGGGGCCACCGCCAGTGGTTGTGGGCTGGTGGTGGCTGGTTTTGTTTTTTTTTTTTTTTTTTTGTTAATTGATTATTTCTTTAATTTCTTTTATTTTTTGGACCACTTACAGCTTGACACGTGTCAAGTGACCTAGAAAATTAGATCATTGACTTTTGTTGATCGATTTGAGTATGAAGAAAGATAGGTCACCTTAAAGTTGGGATTAATGAGGAATAATACAAAGTTAGGATTAATGAAAGTAAATTGGTGAAAGTTAGGATTAAAAAATTGTATTAATCCTATAGTCATGGACTTGTGGGTTACATAATAATTATTTTTTTTTTTATCGTTTCAAATAATACGAAACAGATGTAGTATAATTTTTTTTTTTTTTTTTTGAGGGAACAGATGTAGTATAATTTTAGATAATTTAATTGACTTATATGGAGTATAAAATCTAATACTTTGTATATATTTTTAAAATAAGGGGGAAGGTTTGGTTTCCGGTGTGGTTTAAACCCCAAACTAAAACCAAACCATATTTATTTGGTTTGAGACTTTTCAAACCGCACCACACCATATTATTATTCGGACCAAATCAAATCACACCGTTTTTAATTCGGTTAAAATAAACCAAACCAAATTGCAATTTTTTGGGCTTAGTGTTTTGGGCTTTGATTTGTAATTTTTTTTTTTTTTTTTTTTTGCCTGACTCAACATAACCTGTTTTTAGCTTTATATAGTAGGGCTAAAAATCAGATTTGGCTATAATTTAGATATGTTCCTATATTTCGGTTTTTCAAATCCTAAAACCGCAAGCTGCAATTTTTTTATTTCTCAAACTACACCGAACCATATTTTAAAAAAAAAAAACGAATCACATTATTAATTCGATTTGGTTTGCCTTTCAATTCGGTTTTAAACCATATTAGTTTCACCCCTATTTAAAAATACACAAATGTATTTGAGAAGTATAAACACTTAAAAATACACGGCCGCATTTAAAAAGTATAACACTTTAAAAAACACAAAGAGAGTAGGAAAGTTGCATACTCCATACTAATTAATTGCACCATTTTTATAATGGATATACTATCATACACTTTTAGGCCATGTTGGGTCGTGCCTCGTGCCAGACCCACGTGGAGGCACGACCCACGTGTTTTGGGGTTAGTTAAGCCCGGCCCATGACTTGGCCCACGAGTTTCGTGCCGTGTCGGGCCAAAGTTTTCAAAAGGTTGGTCCGTGCATGGCCCAGCCCCACATGCCATTGTGTCGGGCTTGCGTGCCTAAGCAAAATTTGCATTGATTTTAGCATACTTTGTCGTGTTAGGCTCGGTCGTGCCGTGCCTTATCGTGCTTCTCCCAAATAAAGGCGGCCCACAGGCACAGTACCGTGACATGTTGTGCCGTGCTTTTTTCGTGCTAGGTCATGCCGGGCTTCTGGGTCGTGTTAGGCTCGGTCGTGCCGTGCCTTATCGTGCTTCTCCCAAATAAAGGCGGCCCATAGACACAGTACCGTGACATGTTGTGCCGTGCTTTTTTCGTGCTAGGTCATGCCGGGCTTCTGGGCGGTCTGGCCCAGTGCCATCTTTAGTAGAGAATAGCAAATTTCAGCACGCAAGAGTAGTAGTTATTATTGTTGTTGTTATAGTTACTAGTGCTATAATTGTTTATTGTATTAATTATCGTTATGTTTATCAGCTTAAGAAATTTTTTCGTATTTTTATTATTTTTATTATTATTGTTTTCTAGCGTTATAATTATATACTTTTATTTTTCTTTTTATTAATTATTAATTTTATTTATTACTAATATTATTTATTAAATATTATTTGTTAAGTATTAATTTTATTAATTATTATTTAATACCATGCTAAAGCAAAGTAGCTTTCAGCAAAGTAGAGCATAGAAGGGCTCAGCAAAGCAAAGCAAAGGAGCTCAAAAGAACAAGGCCTTAATGTGTTCATACACCAAATAGGTATTCTACCATTACTCACATTCGATATTAACTTTGTTATCTCATTTTAATTACTCTCTTTCCTTTGTAGTCACATGACGTTCTTGTTACTAGTATTTTATTCCTTTCTTAAACTTTGTACCGAACCAAAATGGTGCAATTTAAAAAAAAAAGAAGAAGTAAATATACTCTCTCCGTACGTCTCTATGAAATTGCTACCAAATCAATAACATAATACTAAAACAGACACCAGGAATGACACATGTCACTTCTTGGTGCTACTTTTTCCCTCCAAAATACACCTTTTTTTTTTTTTTTTTTTTTTTTTTTTTTTTTGTTGTTGTTGTTGTTCATCAAATCTTCTTCAAATATATTTACTATATTATTATAATATATAACCTTCTTATTTGACCACCATATGTTTTTGAAACACTAAAAAAGATTCACGCCATTTATATTATAGCAAATATCTAAAATTGTCATCAAAATAATATATATATATATATATATATATCGCTAATGTATATTTCCAAATTAAATCTTCAAATACATTCAAATCAATAATCAATCAATAACATAATACTAAAATAGACACCGAAAATGACACATGTCACTTCATGGTTCTGTTTTTTCCCTCCAAAATTCCCTCTCCTTTTTTAGCAAAAAAACTTTTATTTTGGAATATTTGTATAATGCAACTATTATAATTATATATTATTCCTAACCTTATATATTATCTTTATAATATTGTATTTCTTTTTATTTCGTGTTCTGTTTACTTAAAATAGCTACACAAGATTTTTGAGATATTTTAATTAAGGCAGAATAAGCTATAATTTATAAGGTTGAAGTATGGACAGAGCCAAAATAAAATACAATATTAACATTTAAATATTAACATTTAAATTACCATTATATAGTTGTACAATAATGGGGTTCAATGGAAAAAAATAATAATTTCTATTCATAGTGTTGATTTTGAAATCTTATGAAATATTAAAAATTGATGAGTTAGTTTTTTGTTAAATATTTCTGTAATGATTGTACCAACTTATAACTTTATTTTTCCCTTCAAAAAACTATTAACAATTACTAAAACAGGTCATGCTTACATCGATCATTTTAGACATATGTCAAGCTATCATTAAAAAAACTCCCGCTAATACAATATATGATATCAGCTTTAAGTTTTTTTTTAAAAAATAAATAAATTATTCTACTTAGCTTATTTTTTGGAAGTACATTGCATTTGTTTATTATATGACTTGCCTCATTTTTATATAATATGACAAATTAATTATGCGAAAAAAGATTATTACTACCGTGCAATTGCACGGGCACTAATCTAGTAAATAATTATAGAGTAGTCCATTTGTTTTGTGTCAGTTACTACATACTTTGATTGATTTTAGGCACTATTCATATTATTACTTAGACTCTCTTCAATTTCTTAAACATTAAGAAAACTATAATCATACACAATCTTATTTTATTCATCACAATTGTATTTTCCAAAAATATATTACTCCCTCTGAGGTTTTTTTTTTTATTTTTTTTTTATTTTTTATATTTTTTTATTTATGTATTACTTAGACTTTTGCACTATTCACATACCATATCCGACTCAATATTACTTTGACTTTTGCACTATTCATAATCAATATAAAATTAAAAGAACTGCAATAATAAATGCATGTAAAAATTATGGATGAATTAAGACCTGTATTTCTGAGAGGGGAAGATGTTAGGTGTGAATAGGAGATAATTAGAAGCATTAAGCACTCGCTAAGTGAACTCAACCTCTTAATCGAGTCTGCCATTGAAGAAGCTTCAGCGATCAATTGAATTGAAAATCCCTGTGTTATCGGAGAAAGATGAGTGTTAAAATGGTGAATTGAGATTTTCAAAAAAATAAATAAAAAAAAAATATTTAGAGTTGATCATAGCTAGGCTGGGGTTTGGAGGAAATAGTGACCCATTTCATGCCGAAAATCATATCCAAACCAGCTATATTATGCGAAAAAAACAAGCTTATCGGGTTTAAAATCGGGTCGAGCCTAATTTTTAATTAAATACGAGTATGATCTTTGGTTGCAGTCAAAAAAAATTTAAGAAAATTTTGGTTTGAGCCCGGAATTTAGGCTTGAAAAAACTTCCCAAACTCTACAACTTTTCTGTCTGGGTCAACTTTAATTAGGTCTACTATTTTTATTTGAAAAAATTGTCAAAAATAAGCAAATCTTTGCACAATTAGCTTAAAATAAGCATACCTTTTGAAAGTTTTGGTTAACTAAAAACAAGTCCACTCTTATGAGCTATCTTTTCAATATTATTATCAAAACAACCTTAAAACAAAACAAAACACATATGTAACTACTAACTACCCCAGTAGAATTTATCAACTACAAAATATACAAGTTAGATTCCACATTTGCATAATAAAAATGCATAGTACAACTCATTCATTGATAATTAGTAAATAAGACAGAGCATAGCACCAACAGAATTACATGCATAGCCGCATAGGAGCCACTAGCTTTGCAAAACACAAATTCATACAATATGAACTTTGGTTGTCAAAAAAAAGGATCACTATTAGTAATAACATCACATTTTCATCAACCCACATCTCAGAACCCTAGCCAGCTCTCTGTTTGCGACCTTGACACCTTTCTACCGTTCTACGTTTCGAATACCACCAAATTAACTTACGGGATAGAATTTGGGGAGACAAGACTCTCCACATAATCCATAACCTTGTAAACCTGTACACTGGGACATTGAGTAACGACATGTGAAGGTGGATCATCATCTGGGTCAATGAGCACGACTACATTTGCTTCAATGCATAGATAACCATTGTATGTGAGCCCTACAAATTGGATGCAATTTCTGAGTATATACTTCCGCAGGTCAATTCGATACAGCTTTTTCCAAGAATCCCAATTATCATACTCCTCCAGGGTCCACAGCTCGAACATCCGTTCCCCAAAGCGATTTAAAAACATAGCACATAGGCAGTGATATTTTCCAATGACACCAAGCAAAAGCTTGGTACTTGATCAGGTTTAATTGAGAAGGGCACCTTCTTAAAGGTCTCTGCTGCCAAATCAAATACTACAACTATTCATTTTTGACGTACAATGTAATGCAATGCTTCATTAAAATAAACAGAATTGGCTTCTGAGACTAAGCGCAAATCTTCATCTGAGACCTGTATTCTTCTCCATCTACCATTCCTTAACGAGTATAGATACATGCCCTTTTCATAGAGATAGGGCCTATACTCCGAATACACTAAGAAGATTCTGTATTCATCACAGGAGGGAACATGACCAAACCAACTCGAGTCTATATGAACAAAAAATGAATCCCTTTTAACAGGCAATGAGATCTCCCTTTTCGCAGTGGTGCAAGGATTCCAAAGATGCAATGAATCTTGACCGCGTCTACCCCTCTCCATTTGTTTCATGTAAACACATATAAGGCCATCATTCGACCCGACAATGAAACAATAATAATAACTGGATACAAAGCTATTAAGGAATCGATTGTTCAACATGTCTGAGGTTACACCCTCAGTAATATTGGTTGGATCAGAAAACTTCAGGGTGGAAAGGGTATTGAATTTTTGAACAATGAGGGTCAAGGGTTGATTATTATTGATTGAATAAACGAGATGTGATCTCGCAAATTCAGGGTCTGAGATGAGGGTAAGCCATGATTTGCATACTAGTTTGCATTGTCCTAATGATTTTGCAGACAGTCGATACAGAATATCACGTATTAATTCTTCGTTTAACCCCAAAAAAGGTTCATCTTCATATTTGAATCGGCTCATATTAGATTAGGCTTTCAAGTTTTCACTGCAAAACAAATCTGATGTTACTACATTATAGACACAATTTCAAATTCCAACTAATATAACCATTAACATCTACTTGTAACTACTAAGAACATAATCAACATACTTATAACTTATAATGTACTGTAAACATCCCACTGTTTGGAAGAACAATTCTATAACAAGCTCATAACCTCTTACTAAAATTTCCCACAACATATTCAAAAAACAAAACAAAAATAAGGATGTGTTCTCTTAACTTATTAAACCATACGAGTACGTTGTTAGACCCGATTGGAAGTTATGTACCCTGATTAGGAGTTTTTGGTGCTGATGTGAACAAGACTTTATAAGATTCGATGTCATATATTGGGTACTTAAACCAACTAATCTAGTCGACATTAACTTTTACTTAAAACTACTAAATCAGTAAATCTGGTTGAACTTATTAGACCAATACTAATTGAACTTTCCTAAAAAAACACACACACAAACAAACACACATCCTATAAAAGTGCGCATCATCTAAAATTGAAAATATTAGTTCAAAATAAGTAAATAACACAATGTGATGAAATTATGAACAGAGTAAAGTTTAAAAAAAAAAAAAAGAAATTGAAGGGAATGACAACTATACATGGAGGAAATCAACATAAACAAAACAAAAAGGGAAATTGGAAAGATTATACCTTTAGAGGAGATGTGCAAGTGTGATGGAGATTGGAAAGGAAAGGAAAGACAAAAGGTTGAAGAAAGAAAATTGAGGGTGAATTGACAAAGGTTTTGCTTATATTGCAAGATAACAAAACGTTTTTGCGGAGTAGGAGTAGTTTTTTACTGTGTGAATTGATTGATTGAACTATTGAAGTCCTGTTTTTATAGTTGTGGGTTACAGTAATACTCCGTAATTCCTCTTCTTTTTTTTCAACTTTATAGACCTTTTATATTAAACCATGTGGGTAAGTTGTTAATTTCGGTCTTTTGACTTGGGGTACGGCACAAAGACGGCCATTAACGTGGTTAAGCCAAAAGTACGTAACTGTCAGAAAGTGAAGTATTCTTATTAGTATATTCTTCTTAAACGTGAGTTGTAAATGAATTTTCTCTCTTCTTCTCTATCTGCTTTCAACATATAAACTCTGTTTATAAATATTAAACGGTGTTAATTTCCAAATCTGATGTCGTCAGTTACTGCTCATTGCTAACTTTACTGGTGGGCTGCAGAGCACAATAGAAATCATTTTTTTGTTAAAGTAACACGATTTTCAAGTCCATTAATACAAAAATGCTACTTGATAAACCAATACTCCGTACTGTTTATTTAGATGATTAATAGGGGCTTCCTCTTTTAACTATCTCGTGTTTATAAAATTTTAGGTAATTTAATTGAATTACATATATCGAATATATCTTTAATTAAGAAATAAGATATCTTAAGTTAAGAAATTAGACATCTCTTGTGTCTACTTTTCCCAAAAGGCAAATGTGACAAGTTGTTAATTCTTTCTCGGGTAAGTCTTTTTTAGTACTTCTATCAATTGTACTTTGATCAAGTATAAAATTAGGGTGTTGTTTAAAACAAACAATTTAATAAACTAATGGCTTCACAAACCACCAAATATTGGAGAAGCTTCTGCAACATATATTGGCTTTGAACTTCTCTAATGTACTAATTGCTCCGTATTAAAGATCCCAAACAAGCAATACTTCATCCATAATGAACACAACCACTCTTTGAAGATTAGTACATTAGTAATAGAACATACTAGAAACTACATAATCAAATGCATAATAGTAGGAATAATTATCCAAGCCACTGCAAAATACATTACCACAATCCAACCAAAAACTAACCTCATGTCAAAAAAAAAAAAAAAAAAAAAAAAAAAAAAAAAAATCCAACCAAAATGAACTTCTGATTGTCAACCAAAGGATTATTACTAGTAGTAATAACATCACAGTTTCAATTCTTCATCATCAACCCACATCTCAAAACCTTATACACCTAGCCGGCTAGAATTGTCCGCGTCCTTGACATGGTCCCTTGTAATGCTCTTATGGATCGACTGCCACCAAAATTAACTTACGGAATAGAATCGGGAGACACAAGGCTCTCAACATAATCCATCACCTTGTAGACCTTTTCAAAAGAGGGATTTCGAGCTATGACATGTGAAGGAGGATCATAATCCGTGTCAACCAGCACAAGTCCATTTGCTTGTTGAATGCAAAGATTACCACTGTATGTGAACCCTAAAGATTGGATGCAGTTTATGACAATATTTTCCTTCAAGTCAATTCGATAAATCTTTTCCCAAGAATTCCAATTATCATACTCCTCCAAGGTCCACAGCTCAACCATCCATTCCTCAGAGCGATGTACAAACATAGCACATAGACAATCATACTCTCCAATCACACCAAGCGATAGCTGATGATAGTTTGGTAATTGATCAGCCTCAATTGAGAAGGGCACCTTCTTAAAGGTTTCTGAAACCAAATCAAATATAACAATCCATTTGCGACGTACAAGGTAATGCAACGCCTCATCCAAGTATACAGAGTCAACTTCAGAAATGTACTCGTAATCTTCATCAGAAACATGAACTCTTTTCCATCTATCAAACCTTAACGAGTACAGATACATACACGTTCCATGAGATTGCTTATGCATCGTATACACCAAGAAGATTTTATAGTCATCATCACAGGAGAAAACACATCCGAACCAACTAGATTCTATATGAACATAAAACGAACCCCTTTCAACAGGCAATGAGATTTCCAACTCCTCAGTGGTGCAAGGATTCCAAAGAGACATCGAATCCGCACGACGTCTCTTCTTACTCATCTCCTTAACATAGACACATATAAGACCATCACTAGATCCGACTATAAAACAGTACCTAGGGTCAAACACATCATCCTCGAGGAACCGGTGCCTCAATGGGGCTAAGGTTACACCCTTACTAATATCCGTCGAATCACGAAACTGTAGTTGAGACAAGATGTTATTCTTTTGCAAAATGAGTGTCAAAGGCTGATTATTACTCTTCGAAAATTCAAGATGTGACTTGGCAAATTCAGGGTCTGAGATTAAGGTATGCCATGATTTGCTGACTAATTTGCATTTTCCTAACGATTTTACGGGCAATCGACACAGAATTTCAATGATCAATTTCTCAGATAACCCCAAAAAAGGGCACTCTTCATGTTTAGAGTGTTTCATATTAGATAGATTAAAGAATCTGCAGAACAAAATTGAAATTACTACATCAAAAACAACACTAAACAACTCATAAAACAAAAACCACTTAATACAAGTTCCTAATACAATTTACCACAACAAATTCGAAAAGGGTATATAATTTGACATTGAAAATATGTAGGAAGAACACAAAGTGAAGCAATTATATGAAAAGACTGAAGATTAAAAGAAAACCCTAATCAAGAGAATACAGTTATACATTAAGAAAATAAACAAAGAGGCAAAGTAAGAAGTCCAATAGAGTAAAACACAAAAAGGTAATTAGAAAGATTATACCTTAAACTACGAATGTGTGATGGAAATTGGAAAGAAAAGACGAAAAGTTGAAGAAAGAAAGTGATCTGATGTAGAAGACACCAAAAAGCTTCTCATGGAAGGCAACGATATTATTTTTGTTGATTTTGAATTGTTTTGAACCTTTTGATGCATTTGTTTTTTTTTTTAAAAAACCTCTCGTAATTTTCCTAAAAAAAAACCTCTCGTAATTCTTATTGCCTTGTTGGGTTGGAACGTTGGGCTGAAGAAATATCAACTTGATAAGGCTAAACTTTTGGCTTGAATGTTAAGTTATATAATCCCTTTTGATAATGCAGTATATTTAGTCATATGATATTATATAATAGTGTATTTTTTGTAGTTTTGTTTGTAAATAAATATTTATGTTAATATTGACTTGAAATTATTTTTATTGAGCTTAAATTATTTTACTGAACTGAAAGTAATTTTACCAAACTAAAATTATTTTTCCTAATTATAACTTATATTTACGAATTCTCTATTAATTTTTTAAATAAATTAAATATATTATAAATGGATCTTATTTTAAAAAACTTTTTAAAACGAATTTGATTATGGAAATAGACAAAGTTATACGGTATTTTATTAAAAGTTATGATTAATTTTGTATATATGAAATATTTGACTTCTATCGATAATGGAACTCTATTCAACAATTTATCTTAAAAAATCTATCCAAAATTCGCTTACTTAGCATCATTATGTGTCACAATAAAACTATTTGTCGCTTATGTGGCGCAACACTTGGCGAAAAACTGGAATGTCAAGTGTCGCTGTCTCGTGGCCCGACTGCGAGACCGGCTTTATTTAATAGTGACTAGTTTTATGCCCGGACGATACCCAAATTGTTGATAAAATTTTAGTATAAGATGAAGCAATATTATTGGGAAGGAGCAAGAAAGAAATGAATATGGAGGGGAATGACAATGGTCAATGGAGCAGAGCTGCATTATTTGTTGAAGAAGAATACCAAACCCAAAAAAATAGTACATTAAAAATTATAAAATATTCATAAAGTTTTTTATATTTACCTATTTGTCATTTTGAGATACTGGGGCTCCTCAAATAAAAATCCTCCCTACTTTGTGGCTTTAGTGCAAGGATGTGGTTAGCTTTACCGTGAGCTAGCAAAGTCGAAGCAGGCAATAATAGTGAAGAGGTAAAGGATGAAAGGAAAAAAAAAAAATTGCTACCCACCTATTGTAGGAGGGTAAGGATGAAAGGACCCTTGTTACATATGTGGAGGTGTGGAGCTAACAATTTCATAACAACAATGTCATACCTTTGTGCATTTGCCTTTCCAAACTACTCCCAATATTTTATTTTTTTTAAATAATGCATCAGTTTGACCGGCATATTTGTCAAGACTTAATTTTGACCATTAATATCTTTAATTGTTTATTAGTTAAAATTGTAACAATATTATATTATGAAGGTAGACATTGTGACTAATCTAATGATATATTATATAATAACATTTATTAACTTTATGATAGAGAAAAAAAAGTAAGTTAAATATGACATGTGAATAGTGCAAAAGTCAAGCTGATACATTTAAAAAAAACGAAGGGAGTATATACATGCATGTTTACGGCTTTAAGTTGATTAATTATACCTCATATTTGGCAGTTTATATTTTCCTTTAAAAAATAGATCAAATTCAACTAGGAAATAATACACATTAGCACACAACTCATGATTACAAGTATATAATTTCGTCAAATACAAAATCTTAGCTTAAAACACATTAATAGTACCTTATTAGATGAAGTCCGTGCGATGCACAGTTTGTTTGTATTTTTTAAAACCAATATTTTTTGTATTTATATGATGAAATTTGTTATTTTATAGTATATCATTTAATATTTTTATTTTAAATAAATTGTGAATTTCTTCTCATTCGTTATATATTTAGATAAAAGTCTTACTCTCAAAAGATAATACTTTATATTTAATTAATTTAAATTTTAAAATCCCATTCTCCAATTTTGCTTATGTGGCATTTAAATTATTTAATTATAAAAGAATTTACAAATCTCTTATTTAATTGGCTATTACTAAAATTTATAATTCTACATGGCGCGTTAAGAAAATTTTATCCTACGTGGCTCTCTAAACACTTGAGAAAAAACTCCCCTTTATACATATATATATATATATATACTAGTTTTATGCCCGGGCGATGCTCGGATTGTCCTAAACTTTTTAGCTTGAATGTTAAATACGATCATATAATTCCTTTTGATAATGTAAAATATTTTGAAGTACGATATCGCTTATTTATATAATAGTGTACTTTTTGTACTTTTATTTGTAAATAGATATCTATGTTATTATTAAAATATTTTTTTATCGCACTTAAATTAATTCTAATGAACTGAAAATATTTTTACCAAACTAAAATTATTCTTACTGATTAAAACTTATTTTTTACCGATTCTCTATTTTTTTTAAAATAAATTAAATATTTTATAAATGGATCTTATTTTGATCTTATTTTAAAGAACTTTTTAAAACGAATTTTATGATGGAAATAGAATCGAGTTATAGGATATTATTTAAAAGTTATGATTAATTTTGAATAAATGAAATATTAGAAGTATATTGATAATAAAACTCTATACAATATTTTTATCTTATAAAATCTATCCAATCTAATTTGACGAGGGATCATCTAATCTAATCACCATAATTATATCTATTTGCATTGTCGTCTACGTGATGCGACACTTGGCGAAAAACTGGAATGCCAAGTGTCGCTGTCTCGTGGCCTGAATGCGAGACCGGGTTTATATATTAGTGATATATGATATGATATATATTGATTAGCAAACTCTAATCAAAAGAAGTCAAACAATATTTTTAAAAAAAAAAAAAAACGTAGAACATACATACTACGAGTAATAGTTAAAGAAATTTATATATAGTTGAGGTCTAACATGGTAAGATGATCTTACCGGAGACTTATTGAAAGTTTCAATAAAACAAAAAAAAAAAAAAAAAAAAAATCAATTACCCAAACACAAACATACTTCGTAGTAAATAGATTTTTTCACAAATACTCTAAGTTATGAAGTGAATAAGGCGATAAAAGCGTTTGAACGTAACTCATAGTGTAAATGGCAGTATGTTTCGTTTTAACTTCTTGCATATTATCACTAGCAACCCGATTTGGATCAACAATTACGAGCTTTTCTCCTCCAACAAATATTTTTCCTTGATATGTAAATCCAATTACCCAAGGGTATGGACGGGGTGTTTCATTGCCCAAAGAAATCCTATACAACTTTTTCCATGAACTCGAATTCGTACGTTCAACCAAGTTCCATATTTCCAAAACCCACTTATCCTTCCTCCAATGTTGAAAGACTCGACCCGAACACAGACTATTTTCTTGTGTGACACCAAGTGCAACATCAATCATACGATAATTCTTGTTGTCGACAGAAAGACGTTGTTCTATGTGACGTACACTTGATAATGTTTCATTGACCAAATCAAATTTATATATCGAATAGAGACCTACAGCATAATGTAACACTCCGTCTTTAAGAACAAATCTAGTTCCTAGACTCCTACAAGGTATAGTCTCATATTCGATAATAAATCGATTCGAATACATTAATTCCCTCCATGAACTATCCTTCATCGAGTACAAGTAACTCCGTTTTCTCTTCAAGTGAAAGATAACAACATCGTCCAACAAATAGACAAAACCGAACCAATATCTTTTGTGACGACACGAAACTGGCGTAATAGGTGGATCATCAACGCGAGGAGGAGGCAGTGGAATAGGCCTGCATTCCTGTTAAAAATGTAATCTAGAAAAATCTAATTAGTAAAATCTACAATTAGCTAGATATTTCTAGAATAGCCTAGTGTCTTAAGAGAAATTTAGAGAAAGCTAGTAGATAGGAGTAGAGTAGTATGTCGGTGAAGGAGCATGTAAACCGACCTACACTACTATATATACTAGCACTTGGTCATGCAAATGTAAGCTATCCCCATGCAATAATACTTCAAATTTTATCCCACCACTACTTCCACTCACCTAAATTCTAACAATTCAAGACCGTCGCAAACCATGATAGTGCAGATTGCTACTTCAAAGGAAAAGCACAATGTTGGATATGCAAAAAGTTCGGCCATGTTGGAAAGAATTGCAGGTTCAAGAAAGCTGATGTGGAAATTGCCAATTTTGGCAAGGAAGATAATAAAGAAAGCTTGTTTTGAAGAAGAAAATAAGAGGTTGCTAATGACAAGTGCATTAGCAGAAATATTTGGTGATATGAGCACCAAAATTAAAAGGAAAAATAAAGGAGATATATTCGAAAGGAGAATTTGGGAGATCTCTGGTGACACGAGCATCAGATCAGTTAGAAAGATGGTAACACGAGTACCAAAATTAAACAACAAAATTAAGGTTGGTAACATGAGTACCAACACAATGACAAGAAGAAAAGTCAAGATTAGAAGTTGTCGGTGACAACAAGAAGAAACAACATCAGAGGCCGTTGGTGACAAGAGCATCAACAAAACCGAAAGAATATTTTGAGAAGACGACGTACAGTTTAGAGTACAAGATTTTTCAGATTAAGGGGGGTGTTAAAAATGTAATCTAGAAAAATCTAATTAGTAAAATCTACAATTAGCTAGATATTTCTAGAATAGCCTAGTGTCTTAAGAGAAATCTAGAGAAAGCTAGTAGATAGGAGTAGAGTAGTATGTCGGTGAAGGAGCATGTAAACCGACCTACACCACTATATATACTAGCACTTGGTCATGCAAATGTAAGCTATCCCCATGCAATAATACTTCAAATTTTATCCCACCACTACTCACCTAAATTCTAACAATTCCCGCGTAACCGGGTTCCAAACAATAAGTTGTTCTTGCAAATCAGGTGTAGTAATATGGATACAAACAACCCCATTATAAGATCCAGCACAATAGTAATAAACTCCTGTACGTGAATCAGGAAAAGGATGATCTAAAAGAGTTGTGTTTATTTCTATTTTGTTTAAATCTTCGGATTTCAATGAAGAGATACAATTCTTGGATTGAAAGATTAGCGTTTGAGGAGTAATAAAGTTTGAGAATTGAATAAGAAAATTTGCAAATTAAGGGCTAGAGATTTGGAAATACCAGCTTTTGGAGAGCAGTTTCAATTTTGCTAGTGATTTAAGAGGAAGTAAGAATAAGATTTTTAGAGTTATATCATAGGGAAAACACCAAATATCATGTTGAATTATGCGATGTTTCTCGGCAAATTCGAGTTTCTCCATCTTTGGTACGGTTGTTGGAGTAGAACTTTTAGGGTTTTTTCAATACTAAAACTTTCTTACTTGAATAGTTGAGGCTTACTAATTTATCATATTGATTTGAAAAGGATGCATATCAAACAACAATTTGGATTCTTTTGTAAAAAAAGCCCAAAACATTCCTAGCCCATCTCTAAAATTATTAGGGGTGTTGGGTTTGTAGCCTTGTAGGTTCACAGATTCTTAAACTTCGTATATGGTTGGCCATACGGTGTGATTAGAGGTAACAATTCGGATAATTGGATGGATTTTGGGTTAATCCATGAAGGGTCAGGTTTGTTTGGGTGGAGTATATTCGGATCAAAATTACCCTTTTAACCCGCCTCAGGTCGGATTGGGTCATTTTTCGGGTTGGGTCAAGATCTGTCGAGTCTAAATCGCGGGTTTAGGTCGGGTCAAGTTCAGATCGGTTCATATTTGGTTCGGATATATTTGGATTGAATTCAAAACGGGTTTGATCGGGTTAATTTCGGGTCGAATGACTTTGAATCAGGTTGGTGTCGGTTCGGTTAATTTCGATTTCGTTAAGTTCGGTTTAATTACTAAGGTTGATACAATATTTAATCAATTCTGATTCAAATACTTTTCGTGTTTGGCTGAATTTTGGTTGAGTTGACCAAATTTAATATTCAAATAAGTAAATTTTTAAAATTAGAGTAATTATTGAGTTTTTTTTTTATCTTGTTATTGGATCGATATCAAGTCATTCATGTGTCATTTTTCATATCGTGTCATTACTATATGTTTAACTAAAAAAAAGGTAAATAATAGGTTGGATTTAAAGTTATGGTTGGTTTGAAATCATGTCAAGTCAAAATTAGGTCGAGTTAAAATCGGGTTGGGTTAATACCAGTTTGGATCAAAAATAGATCGGATTAAATGGTATTTGTCGGGTCAATTTCGGTTCGAATTGAGTTCAAGTCAGGTCAAATCGATTTCGGGTTGAGTTCAAGTTGGTGTCGACTTAAGTTCAAATCGGGTCAAATTCGAATTCGGGATGAGTTCAGTTCGGTTACGGATCGGGTTTGGGTCTTGAATTTCTCGGATCAAATCGGATCGGTTACAATTCGACACGTTCGAAACAGATGACTTTTTTCAGATCGGTTTGGTTTTAACACCTCTAGGTGTGACGGGCCATTATGTGGGTTACGGATGGAAATTCAATTCATGGATTTATAGGTGTTTGACATTGATTATATATTTGTTGTTATTGATGATAGGGTCATTATAAAATTGGAGTTGTATTGGGTCGGAGTCAGTGGCGGGAAATTTTGGCTGGATCAGGGTTGTAGGTGGATCAATCCGACAACTTGTGGGGTCTGAGTTGAATTTTGCGTATGTATACTTGTATATTTTAAAATTGAAGAGGAAAAATTAATCATGATTTATTTAATAAGTTAAAAAAAGTCAAACCCAACCAAAAGGAAAATAACAAAACTAAGTACGAGGAAGTAGTAGTGTTTTAAAAGGTCCAAACTTTGAAGGAAGTTTTAATTCATGGAAAATAGCTAGCAAGGCTAAGCAATTAAGCAAATCAGAGATTGAAATCTCACGGTATTTTTTTCAATTATCACTTTCAAATTTAGCAATTTATAATTGAATCTGATTACCTAATTTGTTAAAGATTCATCTGAATTTAATAGATTTTGATTTCAATTTCAAGCTCTATAATTCAATCTGATTAGTTAATTAAGGATTTACTTGTGTAATAGTTTAATTTGATTGATTAATTGATTTAATCTTGTTTTATTTTCTGTATTTGTATGTATAACATATCATAAGATTCATAACCAATTGAACCTGAATATCAGATTCAAAATCATCCCTAATTACTTTTTGTTATCTATTTTACTTATAAAGAAGAATTGCTAAGGATAGTATAATTGGGAAACTTACCTAGTAAAAGACTAAACACTACTCCGTACATTTGTAGCATGAATCCCAAGTGTTTCTGCTAAATTTTTTTAGTAGTAGCTACAGAGTAGAAAAGAATGAAGATATCGAACAATAGACTTGTTTGTACAATTGATGACTGACTGCATCAACAATCTTGAAACTTTCAAGGGGTGATCCAGATGAACATCCAAATTTGACTATTCGCGACAAGCAGTACCTCTTGCACTTTCAGGAGCCATATGATGATTTTCACCAACATAAGCAGCCAAGTTTAAATACTTCTCTTGATCCGCCCTATCTTTCCATCTTGATCTACAAATCACACAACTTACTGATCTTCTTCTCTGAGTCCTTTTCCAAGTCAATAAGCACTCTTCATGCAAGAAGTTCCGACAAGTTGCACAAGCCACCAACTTTTCCCCTGAGTTTCCCATCTCTTCGAGGCAGATAGGACACATTGCACCCTCTTCAACGACACTGCGTTGGGCTTGGGCAGCCCCACCACCATCCCTCTGGAGGAAGAATGCTCGATGGAACCTCTCACGAAGGGTTTGGCCTGCAAGGGAGTCACTGGAGGTCGGGTTAGCCAGGAGACGAGTCACCTGACTAGACCTCAGGGTCCGTCTTCTTAGAAAAGGATCATCTAAGGAGACTCCTAGGACCCTGATAAGCACAAATAAAATGTGTTTGCAAGGGGTTGTACGATCAGGGCACTTGCATGCAAGAGTTGTTGATACGTTAACAATGTACACATTTCCCGTGGCACCAAGGATGTAGAAATTTGGGTCCGACCTATAAAGGAGTAGTAGACGATGCCCTAGAGCCCTTAGGACTCTATCTGCAAAACCCTGTGAGGGATGAAATCGTTGGGTGGACCGCCTTTCTTGGTGATTGTCAGGTTGTCGTGGTGGCGGTGGAGGCTGACTTGGCTCCATGGTAGGGCAATTTCAAGAAGATTGCCTTACCTATAGAGATATGCAAATGAGGCAAAAGAATATAAATGGAGTTTTTAAAGACTAATTATGTTTTGTTGTGAAAGAGATACTTTGGATAGTTTGGGAGAGCACATGGTTAGAATTACTTAAGGGTAAGGTAAGGGATAAAGTGCAAAATAGTAATACTATGAACAAGTAATAGACATCCTTCAAAAAAAAAAAAAGTAATATACAAGTAATTGGGTTGGGAAATTCTGAACTTTGTCTTGTGTGTGTTACGAAGTTATCCTTACGGCACGTTTAACTTCCCTAAACCCTTTGCATAAGAAGTTCATGTAGGACACGATTTTATTATGTGGCCTGAGTTATCATTTATCTAATTAATTGATCATTGACCTTATAAATATCCTGCGTATTTAATTGATAATTATTTGATGGACGTAATTATCCTTACGACCTGATTAGGGTTTCCCCTTAGGTGTATATATATAGAGGTCATGAGACAGAGGTGAATACACCAATTTTACGCTTCCCTTTTCCCTCTCTATTCTAGTGAGTCTCATCCTCACTTTAGCCATCATAACAATACACCCTAAACGGGAACTCGATCTACATCAGAATCATGGTCTCATCACTCACTACGTTTTCAGGTTTATCAGGTGCACATAATTTAATCTCTAATTTATATCTCATGTTAAAGGATTGATTAACATGTGGTATCGGAGTGATTGTGTTGATAAATCAATTCTTTCGTTTCCCAAAAAAAAAAAAAAAAAAAAAGAAAAAAAAAATTGATCACTGCTTGGATCAAAATTGGATCGGATTTTTTTTTTCTAAACCTAACAAATTTGTTTAGAGTATTTTTCAATTATCCAATTCGTTGGTACATCACGTTTCTTCCATATCATGATTTCAAAAATCTGAACTCTAACGAAATTGTTTTTTTTTATTATTATTTATTTATTTATTTTCTAATTCTTTTTGGTGTATTACTTTTCCACCATTATCAGGTTTCTAAACAATTTTTTTTTTTGGAATGATGACTTGTTTTGTTATAAACTCTTCTGGAAATCATGATATGCTATATATATTTTTTTTTATCTCATATAATCGCTTATCAGTGTTTTCGGAATTAGATGACATTTTCGATTAAAATTCATTAAATTGATTTATTTTGCTTGACTTGAATAATACTTTAGAGTACACTTCTGCCCAAAGGTGATGTGTAACATTTGTAAAATTCTTCAAGTCTAATTCAGCATTGTCACTTAGTCCATATCCTTGAATAGATATTCACATGACATTCGCCTTAAATGCATGATTTTTCACTTCTGTCCAAAGATGATGTGTTATAATTGTGCACTGCGAACTAAATATATATGTGCATTAAAATTTAAATGTCTCACTTCTGCCCAAAAGTGATGTGTTACATTCAAATTGCACATCATAATTTTTTATTATTCATAATACTTAAGTAAGTGGTCATAACCAAAGTGAAAGCCATTTATTTAAGTAGAATTAAATTCAGTCTATTATTTTGGTGTTATAATAGACTTTTATCACAGCTTCATTACAAAAATAATGGTTCTTATCTTCGTCTGCCTTAGTACATTACCCCTTAGATCACCATAAGTTCTTCTTTAATTATGTGTCTTATTTCTCTTATCTAAATCAACTATCAGCCCCAAACATGGGAATTGAAACTTTGAATGGAGCGAACTTTTCTTCCTGGAAGGATTCACTAATGCTGACTCTTGGCATGTTGGATTTTGATTATGCACTGAGAGAGCCTGCTCCCCCTGCTCTCACTGATAAAAGTACTGCTGAAGATAAAATAGTACATGAGAGGTGGGAGAGGTGCAATAGAATGGCTCGTATGCTCATTAAAAACTCCATCAGCATAATCATCAGGGGAGCTATTCCAGATTCATCTAATGCTAACTCGTATCTGGCCTCCGTGGAGGAACAATTCAAAGCATCTTCTAAGGCACATGCTAGTACTCTTATTTTGAAGATGGTGACCACGAAATACGACGGGAATAGCAGCATTCGTGAGCACATCATGATGATGAACGACATGGCCCGTAAACTTAAGGGATTGGACATGGAGATCAGTGAGGGTTTCTTGGTGCACTTCATCATGACTTCTCTTCCCGCATCTTTTGAAGCTTTCAAGGTCAACTACAACACCCAGCAGGTCAATTGGACGATGAATGAGTTAATTGCTATGTGTGTACAAGAAGAAGAGCGTCCTCATGACTGCTAATCCAAAGAAGAGAAAGGGAAATGTCGACAATAAGGAGTTTTCTAAGGGCCAGAAACGTGATGCAAGTACTGCTTCCAGCTCTAAGAACTCCAAAGGGAAGTCTTACTGCAAGTTCTGCCGCAAGGAAGGACATAGACAGAAAGACTGCCAAGGCTTTAGGGAGTGGCTGACTAAGAAAGGTAATCATCTTTACATGATACTTGAGTCCTTTAATTTAAATGTTCCAACTAATACATGGTGGTTTGACTCTGGTTCTATGGTTCATGTAACCAACTCACTTCAGGGATTCCTTACAATCCAGAAGCTGGAAAGAAACTGAAGGACACTTAAACTGGGGAATGGAACAGAACTAGCTGTCGAAGTCGTGGGAACCTTAGAATTAATAATGAAAACTGGTTTATGTATTAAACTTTATGATACCTTATATATTCCCGAGATTACTCGGAACTTAGTATCAGGACCAAAGTTAGACATAGACGGTTTTGATGTTTCTCATGGTCATGGCAGACTTACTATTAGTTTAAATTCTCAAGTGTTTGGACGTGGTTATCTGGATGGTGGCCTTTATAAATTAGAACTAGATGATAATTTTTCCAAATCTTTGTTGTCATACAATATTAATCAGACACTAACAAAGAGAAAACGAAGACGAGACTTAGAAACTTCATCCACGTTGTGGCATCAACGTTTAGGCCACATTTCACGAGAACGTTTGTCTAGACTCGTGAAGGATGAAGTGTTACCATCTCTCGATTTCAATGATTTTGGAACATGTGTCAAATGCCTTAAAGGTAAAATGACATCAATGAACAAGAAAGGTGCCACTAGGAGTTCTAATTCATTAGAGCTTATTCACACTGACGTTAGTGGTCCTTACACTATCACTGGCATAACTGGACATAATTCATTTGTCACTTATATTGATGATTATTCTCGTTATATGTACTTGTATCTTATTAAGGAAAAATCTGAATCACTTACAACTTTTAAAGATTATAAAACTGAAGTAGAAAAACAACTTGATCGTCAAATAAAAGTTGTAAGATCAGATAGAGGGGGTGAATATTATGGTAGACATACTGATGTGGGTCAAGCTCTTGGTCCATTTTATGAGTTTTGTAAGAGCCAGGGGATCGTGAACCAATACACTATGCCTGGTACTCCTCAGTAGAACGATGTTGCTGAGAGAAGAAATAGGACCCTAATGAACATGGTACGCAGTATGTTAGCCAACTCAGGTTTACCCCTATTCCTCTGGACCGAGGCCTTAAAAACAGTCGTTCATATACTCAATAGGGTTCCTTCTAAAGCTGTCCCTAAAACTCCTTATGAACTCTGGACAGGAAGGAAACCGAGTCTCAGATATATGAAAGTATGGGGTTGTCTCGCCGAAGCTAAACTTTATAATCCATTCTTAAAGAAACTCGACATGAAAACTACAACTTGTTACTTCATTGGTTATCCTTCTCACTCAAAGGGTTACAGATTTTATTGCCCTTCCCACGTAACTCGCATTGTAGAAACCAAAGATGCTCATTTCCTTGAAGATTTTAAGGTCAGTGGGAGTAGTGAAAATCCTTATGAGGAATTGCAGGAAGTACAAGACGCGGGGGGGAGAGACTTATCGATTACTTTACCTCAAATTACTCCTCTTGTACATGCCACTCAACTAGACACTGCACCGCCTCCTACTCCAAATGTACTTGGAAATGAAGGCACTTCAAATAATCACTCTCAAGACAATGTTGCCAATGCTCAACCTGAAAATATACTCAGGAGGTCTTCTAGGTCTAAAAGGCCCACTAACTTTGATGATTATGTTACCTATCTGACTGAAGCAGAAATGGATGCTGGAAAGTTTACTGATCCTACCTCTTATAATGAAGCCATTTGCAGTGATCAGTCTTCTGAATGGAATAAAGCCATGATTGAAGAGCTTGACTCCATGAAGAAAAATGGTGTTTGGGATTTGGTTGAATTACCCAACGGTGTAAAACCCGTAGGGTGTAAATGGGTCTTCAAAACAAAACTAGATCCGAATGGAAACATTGAACGCTACAAAGCGAGATTGGTTGCAAAGGGATACACTCAGAAAGAGGGAATTGACTATCAAGAGACTTTTTCTCCTGTCTCTCGAAAGGATTCCTTAAGGATCATTATGGCCCTTGTAGCTCATTTTGATTTAGAGCTACATCAGATGGATGTCAAAACCGCTTTTCTTAATGGCGATTTGGATGAAGAAGTGTTCATGAAACAGCCCGACGGTTTCAAATTTGAAGGTCAAGAACACCTAGTCTGTAAGCTGAAAAAATCCATATACGGGTTGAAGCAGGCATCACGTCAATGGTACCTAAAGTTGCATCAAGTCTTGAAGTCAGAAGGTTTCCTAAAGAAACAAGTGGATCAATGCACCTATCTGAAGATGAGTGGGAGCAACTTTACTATACTTGTCCTTTACGTAGATGACATTCTATTGGCAAGTAATAGTTTAGACATGTTGCATGAGTCTAAACGCTTACTCTCGCGTAATTTTGACATGAAAGATCTCGGAGAGGCTTCTTATGTTATTGGCATCGAAATACACCGAGATAGAGTCAATGGTATTTTGGGATTATCTCAAAAGGCATACATCGAGCGTGTTCTTACACGTTATAACATGCAACATTGCTCTCCTTCTGTAGCTCCAGTAGTTAAGGGAGATGTTTTCGGTTTATTTCAAACAGAGGTTGAAAAAGAATAGATGAGAATGATACCTTATGCGTCAGTAGTTGGAAGCCTTATGTATGCACAAGTCTGGAATGTTAGGCCGTTATCAGACTAATCCTGGCCTTGATCATTGGAAAGCAGCTAAGAAAGTTCTTCGATATCTACAAGGGACGAAAGACTATAAACTGACTTACAGAAGAAGTGATAATTTAGAAGTGGTTGGTTATTCTGATTCTGATTTTGCTAAGTGCAAAGATGACAAGAAATCCACTTTCAGAGTATATCTTTATGTTAGCTGGTGGACCTATCTCGTGGAAGAGTCATAAGCAAGAGTTGACTGCAACTTCTACAATGATGCAGAATACATTGTGGTGTACAACGCAACCTGTCATGGGATGTTGCTTAGAAATCTCATCACTGGACTCAAGGTGGTTAATTCCATCTCT